CGAAGGATATGTGAAAAAACATGATATAAAATATTCTTTGCAGGTTCAGTCGCTCCGTCCCTCTACCTTCGAGAAGGAAGTATTTGAAAGTAGTACAAAGAATGAAAGTGCATCTTTGCAAGGAACAGGGTCACATGTGCACACGCGCTGCGAAGGCATTTCCTCTATCTACCGCCCGCTCCCTCGCCCTCAATACCTCGTTGAGAATGACACTGTTGTTAGGGACGCTGTCCAAAAACGGCAATAGTTCTGGAAAGACCGACCTCCACTCAAGTTGTGGGGTTCATTGAAAGGTGTGAAATGTGCAAATGTGACAACGTTACAGGAGTTACGAAGTGTGTTTACTACAATTTCTGTCAACAGGTCATCATCATATGTATAACACCTTTCAATAGATTCTACAACTTGAGTGGAGGTCGGATGCATGGCCTATACTGAGACGAGATCGGACGATGACGATTGCCCCTTTTCTTGTCGCTTACGTTGGGAGAATTTATTCTAGACACATTTCGAGTTGCCAACGAATTACTTGCAATGGTGAAGAAGGGAGCGGATTTTCAGGTGGCCGGATCCGTCCTCGATAGATCCTCGACGCAAATATCTCTCAACTAAAAAATGTAGAAGAAAGCTAAACAGACTGTTAGGAAGCGCAAACCTTCCGCTTTTCAAAACTGTCTTCCTTTTTTGAAACTCGCATGAAAAATTAGCGTCCTCGACGCTACCTCAACAAAATTTGAGAGACCCTTTCTCTTCGAGTGTGATGATTTCAGATCAATTTCAATACTGCTTGGTTAGCAAATCTAGCTCTATCTAATCCTGGGGGACAGAAAAGTTCACCGGCGGCGCGGACGCGAGCGCGTGCCGGTGACGTCAAAATGACGTCGCAGCTGCGGCAGGCTCAAAGGAAGGGCAAGCAGTGGCCAGCGCCGCTGCCACTTTGTCCAAACAGTGCCGGGTTTCTGGCACTATACCAACTTGTTCAATTAATTGTGCCGCGAGAGAAATGTTTTTGTTATGTACAGGTACCATCCTCGCAATAGGAATTGGGGTTTTTGAGAATGTGAAGGAAGTCAAGGCTTCCATATGCAAATTCAAGGAGTATCACTTCATTATATAAATCAGAAGTTTGGTGAGTCGGTTTGTTTGTGTCTGTGTTTGCACGTGCCTGTCCGTCCAATGGTCGAGAAAAACTCACCTTTTCGACACCAACATACTTACCCCCTGCCTCCATCAGGTAGTCTCTCTAGTCGGGAAAACTGTTTACGATTTTCCTTTTCAGCAGGTTATTTACATTGATAAACCAGAATACTGATGCGTAATATTTCAGCACCTACCTCCGTCGCTCCTTTCCGTCCCAATCTCTAAAGATTTCCTCTCTTCTCTCTCACTGTCCTGCCCAGTCCCTGTACGATTTTTGTAACATTTAACTTTATTGTATTGCACTGCTATCCTACAATATCTTGTAATGTCTTCTTTTTTCCTTCTTTATTTTAGTATTATATGCAGCTTCCTTCAATGTATCTTTTATCTTTTAACATTTTTTAACCACTATATTATTCAGAAAGTCACGCTCTTCATTTAAATTTCCCCTACCCCCTTTTTTTCTTCTCTCAGTCTGTAACTGTTCTGCCTACTACCTCCACTACCGCAGAGGTGGCCTTGGGTTCCTAAGGGGAGGTTGGCGGACCTACTAAGATGGTATCCGGAGCCCTGTCCCGCCCAGGGGCTTGCAGTGTATGGCCGGGCGGCACCCTGCCCGTCCT